TAAATATAATCTTGAAAATATTTCCGTTTGTATTGAAATGATAAATCACACCGATCTTGGTCGCTTACATCCAATTACAATAGGTCATATTTTGTAAACTGGAAATTTCTAATATATTTCAAGTAAGGGGAATTGGTAGAAATAGAATTAAGGTCGCAGTAGCATCTATACATGATGCAAATACTCTTATAAATAATAGTAAACTAAAGGAAGAAAATTTAGAGCCTTATTCCTTGTCACATATTAGAGATATTCGGGATATCGATAATCAGCTTGATACTGTATGTTTACAGGAAAATATTGAATCTCCTTCACGTATAAAAGAATGTATAGAACTGTTGAAAAAAATGGTACAATTGAGTATGTTGCAAAACGAACTTTTGTTTTCCACATACCTGCAATCGAGTATTGATCTATTGCTTCCGTTCTTCGGCTAGGTGGAGTAATGATTGAGCGCTTCTGTCTCACCTCTCGCCTAGGCTGAGTACTGATCGGCTGCTCCCACGATCTTTGAGTATTGACTAAAGATCGTCCTTGTCTTGCCCATCCAAACGCCGCTTGTTTTGCGTTAACCGGTATTGATGTCGGTCTGCAGCCTGTCGATTTTATTAACGAGGATTCGTCTTTTTATTTTTATGACTTAAACTGCGTTTAACTGAGTCTGATGTCTAATAGAGCTCCGTCGCACGTTAGTTTATATAGTAGTCGATTATCATAAGAGAATTCTTAACTTATCATCTTTGTAATCATTCTCCAACTTTAACTTATATACCCAAATTCTCTTTCTGATCTATTCATCATGTTATATAGGCCATCGCATGTGCAGAAAGCACCAGCTATAAGCTTTGACGTAAACATCTCCTTGGATGACATTTTAAACAAAAAAAATGAATATAAACATAAATTTATTAATGAACAAGGTAACTACATGAATGATAAAACACATATTGGTGTTGCAAACACGAAACGAAACAAATATAAACTAGATCTTATTCTTTCAAAACTTTTACACTATATAAATAGAACTAAATGCTAGTGACCGTTTTAGTTTTGATTACTAAATACGAAATTAGAATTCCAAAGGTTTCATAAATAGTTCAGTTTAAGCTAGATTTAAAAAAATAGTTATAAAATAAATAGGCTCGATAGTATCAAAAATAGCAAATTTAGTTTCTGGTAAAACAATATTGAAGATATTTCTAAATTTAGAAAATATTAAAGTTAATCATAATTACAAGTATTAAGCAATAATAGTTAGAAAAGTAGAATATCATATTATTATAAATCGGGCATTTGGAAAATATTTGGAACATTTAAAATGAGATAGCATAAAATTCAAAATTGGAAATGCTAGAAAAATTAACGGATATAATAAAATAAAATTATCCGAATTGAAACTATTAGAAACAATAGAAAAAAGTAATGAAACATTGCTTTCCGGGTGTATAGGGCTTGGTCTAGAATTATCTTTTCCTAGCGTTTCCTCTGCGACTATGATAATTAGCAATGACGATGTATTAATAGTCGGAGCTATCTTCCATGAACTTCCAGTTTGCAAAACGCGTTTGTATATTTTATGCGCAGCCGTATACGAAGCATCAGGAAGAAATAATTCCAGACCACAATTGATAAACCAGAAACAATGTATCAGTACAAAACTCTGGTTGTCAAATCCTACAGTCCTTAAATTCATAGAAGTAAGCCAGGAAGAGTTACAAGCAAATATAAGAGGTTTTTGCACGTGGTTTCATTCAAGTGGCTAAGATTTAATGAAATGAAAGAAACAAATGATAAGTTTCTAAATTATGATCGTCTACTAAGATATTAAAACTATGATACTATGGTATATCTGACAGTTAGGAAACTAAGACATGATAAACGACAGAAGTTTTCCATAGCCCAATTTTTTATTATAAAAAGAATAATTTAGCATCGATTTCCCTTACAAACATACTGCAAACGCCAATTATGATGAGGTTTCGCTAATAAAACAAACTGTAACAACTAATTAAAATGAATAAAAAACAGTATGCTACATGTACATTTGATGCACTATTGAGTCTACGTCTCTGCCAAGACAAACTTGATCAGATTACTATGGATAAGTCAACATATTATTCAAATTAAAAGTGATTATTTAGATAGAGTGCCGCACAAGGTATAGAAACTAAAGTATACTCTGATAGTGATAACGGTTTTTAAAATAATCAATTATTTTAAATAAAATAATTGAAGACACGAGTGGATGAAAGTGCTATGTAACATTTTTTTAAAAACCGTTTTTTAATGGATGAATGAAAATATTTATCACGTGGCTCCATAAAAATTCTAAGATTTGTAACATAAATCTAGATTTTTTAATGAATGAAGGAGCTATGTTATATTTTTTTCCACTGGAACAGTGGAAGAATGCGTTATAGGTACAAAATACTTTCACAGTAGGTAGCAAAATAGGAAAATCAATATAAAAATTTACTCCACGAGTCCAGATTGGAATATATAGGAGAGGAATACATTTTGAAGAGACAAATAAATAGTAACATTATTACTACTAACAACGAGGTCCGTACTACGTTAATTAAAAAGAAAAACGGGCGACCTCCAGGACCTGGCAATATAGCTGTAGAGTTACTTAAAGCAGTAGGTCCACTCCTAATAGACCGAATGAATTTTCTAATGAATCAATGCTGTTAATAAATGAAAGTACCATCCGAATGGAAAACTGCTCACCAAGTGTTCATCTTTAAAAACACTAGATAACACTATTTATCTAAAAATCGGAAATGGAGTATCAGAGCCTATAAAAGTAACTAAAGGACTAAGACAAGGATGCAGTATGTCACCCTTATTGTTTAATTTATATATTGAGGCAGCCCTACAAAATTGGAAAAACCATTGCCAGGAAATGGGAATACCCATAGGAAATGACGTAGTGTTATCCCTGAACTTTGACGACCAAGACCAAGTCGTCCTAGCTCAAGATTCTTATGATCTAGAATTTAGGATAAAGGGTCCATACAGAGAATATGTAAAATGGGGGTTACAAGTAAGCATGAAGAAAACAGAATATTTAGTTATCAATTCAGATGCAAGGATTGAAGTGTTGATAGACAAGAACGTGGAAATCAAACAAGTAAAAAAATTTAAATATTTAGATGCACTCATTGATAAGAACGGCTTGGGAGAAACCGAAATTAAAGTATGGACAATTAATGCAGACCTGAAGATTGTTGGCAGTTGAAATGGATTATTTGAGAATAAGTGCTAGAACATCAAGGCTGGAAAGGAAGACCAACGAATCTAAAAGAAATAACATGAATACTACAGAAACGGTTATTGACAGATTACAAAGAAAAGGTTTAAAGTGGTTTGCACACCTATTGAGAATTCCTGACGAACGTTGGCCCCAAAATCCTCACAGATGGAAGCCCCCTGGAAGGGGAATATTGACCACAAATTTCCTGAGGTTAGCAATACCTACTTAGACTGTGACAGATATTTTGGAAGAATAGAGAAGGTTTTACGAAAACACAACACAATATATGTACCACAAACGTACCGGGAAATAATTTCAAAAGCTAGCCGAAAAAATCAAGATATCGATATGACTCAACATTTCAGAAGGATTGCTGATCTACCGCAAAAACTTCATCTTATTATAGAAAAATGGATGAACTAAATACAGTCAGATAAAGAGACGGTATTAAATCGATAAGAGTAGAAGAGTATGGTTTCAATTTGTATAAGGAATCATATGACGAAATAGTTCCGTTTAAAAAAGTAAATGTTCTTCAAAATAGGAATAGAACAGTAGCGCCAGAGAATATTGAAATCGGGAGAAATCGGGAGAAATATGGAACTATCTTTGAAAAAAAAAGGGGAAAATCTCCAAGAACAGCTTAAGTTTGTAAACCAGAATATCCATATTTCTATGAACCAATCTTAGAAAACAAATAATGTGTCATTTAAACTGTTATAACCGTATATTAAAACAATAATATCTTGTTAACCAGTTACGTAAGTTTTTCTTTAATACATGATTATTCCATAAAACAGTAGTTGATCTTTTACTCTTTCTATAATTTTACAGTGGATGAAGTTACAAGTTTTTCAAATTTTGTTGAAACATAATTTTTTTGTTAATATTTTTTTGTCAATAACATATTCTATACATTAGTAACGACGTAGAGAAGTTTTTATCTGATAAAAGTACATGTGTGAAAAGTTTACAACGTAAAACTTCGTTTTACGTTGAAGTTTTGAAACATAGCACCTTCATGCACTCGTGTTTTCAATTATCATAATCATTATTAATATATTCAGTAATAAGTAGTAATATTATCACATATTAAGTATGGTCTTATTACATAGACTAACTTTAACAGTTTTTAATGTAATTGCAAATGTTTTACAACATATTTCACAAATTATGATTTAGTTTCATTATGGTATCGTTATTCACATGAAATGGATAACTTTGTACAGGTAAAACACCTTTATACGTACCACCTGCAAAGCTTAAAATGATTCCTGTTTCTATTGACGGTAGTTTTTTCGGTCGCCTTGAAAGTTTCGCGATAACTCCTCGTCATAACTAACGTTTGCTGCATATTTTTTGGTTTAATCTCCTTCAAAAGAAATATCAATAACTTTTTTCTAAAAAATTGCATATTGCACAGCTTAAAATATGATTTTAAACATTAAATTTTTATATTTAGGGAATTCCAATTTGTTGGTCATTGTGTTACAAAACTGAAATAAGAACAATGTACGAGGGTTCATGTCATGCAAATAGAACTAGATTAGAACACATCAATAGAGACAAGTTAACATGAATAGAAACAATGGACAAAATACATAGAAATGAAATTAAGAGACATTACGAAATGAGCAAAATACCAAAATATTAGCCAAAATCAAAATGAAATATAGTTAAGACTGAGAAACAGTCGTAAAAGAATTCAAAGAGAAAAATATTATACTGAATTTAAAATTTAAACGCAACAAAGGATAGAAACGAATTAAGAGAAACAGTGGTGGTATTTAAAATGCATGAACCCTGGTACTATTTTTCTACTAATATAACTAAACATTATTTGTGGAAAAACATTTCAAACATTACAAAAAGTATTTTTATTAATTAAATCTCGCTCTCTTTTGTCTGCTGCTATCAGTGACCCACACTCCACCATTTTCCGCTGGATATCTTATAGTTGAAGGAGGTCTTATGTAAGCACTACTAAAATTGGAGGGGTTTGAACATCCTTGTTCATAAGTCTGAGATAGCTCAGCAGATGGTTGTTCATAGCCCTAGAACGCATTAGAAACTATCTATAGATTCTGTTACGCATTTGCAGTGCTAACGATTTAAAAAATACAGAATAGTATCCTGAAGAGACCCTTAAAGATTATTAGATCCATAAAAAATTAACATAAATAAAATATTTCTACAAATAGCGGCAGTTGGTAAAAAACGTTCCAATGCATCTTCAATGCGCAGACAACACCGTTAGTGTATAATACCGAAGACCTACAAAATATAATAAATCCTCTAATAATTGGGATTGAATGGTACGGCATGAAACTTAATTGTAAGAACTGTAACATACAAAGTAAAAACAAGATACAAGAGTATCGTTTTATGCCAATGTGATTAAGACTACAACACAAAAGATGTGTCCTTATGTGTATACTAAATGAGGACTGGAATCTCAAAAGCAAAATACAGAAAACTAGAGATTCATTCAATCACATGAGATATCTCATATTATGTAACATGAGACTCCATATGCAGTTACGAATGAACACTTTATGTGCTTCGCTGTTTATGTTTAATTTTCGCTGTCCTGTTATATGGTGTTGAAGACTGCACTCTGTGCATTGATAGTACTCGGGTCTCGAAGTCTTCCATAAAGATATTGGCAATTCCTGGAGATAGTGAGGAGCCCATTGGGGCACCATTTATTTGTCTATAGAATTTATTTTGAAAGATGAAATAAGTTTTGGACATACAATGTTTATTGCTGACCCCCTCGCCAACCTCCACCCAAGCCACGTCATCATCAACGGTATAAATGACCCTTCCTCTATTCCCTGCATCAGTAACGCATTGTTTAGTGATCAGCGTAGTAGTGGCTCGGGAAACTGAGACCTCGGAAGTCCCGAAAAAGACATCGAATAGGATGTCGAAAGCTCGATGCAACGATAACCAACGCGGTTTAACCCGGAAGGCTGTTGAGTTCAATATTTAAGATATTTAAAGCTGCCCTGGAAGATATCAATGGAGGATTACTAATAAATGGAGAACATCTAAATAATTTCTGTCTAATAAATTACGTTTAGTAATACCCACAGACCGCCACAACTAATAATAATTAATTTACAGCCAATAATACGTATTAATTCATATATAAATATATGCTTATTTGAGTAACTATATCAGTGAAAACATTCCCGTGAAATTAGACGGCGCATGGAGAAATAAGTAAGTTTAATATATAGTAAGCCGGTTTACAAATCATTTGCGGATAAATACATATGATAACTCAATAAAAATTTGAATTATATTTAAACATTAATTTTCTATTGATACATTTAGTCGTATTGTATTTTAACGAATTAAAAATTAGCTAAGATAATGAGATAACTATTGCATGCAACTTTATATGTAAATAGAGATTTTTATATATTTCAGAAAAATTACCGTCCTTTAATGAGAACTTCAGCCGTTATTGGTTAAAATTATAAGACAATTTAACTATGAGCATTTTTTTCAAGATTTGCATTAACTTTTATGCCTGTATTGGGCAACCGGATAGCCTAGTGTGACTACCTACACTTGCCTCAGAGATATGAGGCAAAATTTGTCAATCCATCCATCAAATAAAATTAAGTGTTTGTTTTACTCTAGTTTCCATTGTGTACATAAAAAATATATCAGTAGAATAAATTCTAATAAAATACTTATTTGTGTACTCCATGGGTATGCAACCAATATTACACCAGAGACGGGATATTTTATCCCAAGTTTTATCTTTTTATTTTATTGTGTATTTAAATTAAATTTAAATAACTTTAAATCAGGAGCATATTTATTTTTTATTTAATAATATATAAAAGCTTATACCGGGTGGTGAATCGTCAAACGGGCCATAGAAACCTCAATGGGAAATTTTAAATTGTTGAATTGCTGCTTCCCTAATTATTTTAGATCAAAAGTCATAAAAAACTATTTTTTTTTCTGTAATATGGCTTTGACAGAGCAAATTAGCCAGACTTGTTTGTTTTTATTGTTAAAATCGACTGAATTTTAATTATTAGTGATTGCAGATTCATAGTCAAAATTTTCTTGTTGTAAGTTATCAATGTTATGGTCTGTTTTTAAACCAGGAGGAGTAATTCAAATTTTCCGCGCCATAAAGCTTGTTTGTAATTGGTCGAAGCGCAGGCAAGTTTACTCCACTAAATTATGACATATCGACACTAATGACATTTGTGAAATTTTAAAATTCAAAATTTATATCGACAATTTTCTGTATTTTCTGTGTTATTTCTTACATCTTTAGATTTTTCGTTTGCATTTATATAAAAAACAGTTCTTTTCAGAACTATTTAGCGACATATTAGTGTTATTAAGATAACAATATGGATTCAATGCCAAGTACTAGTGGTAATTATTCTTCTCCAGCTTAAAAACGCCGAGTAGATTTGGATCATTTATCATCAAATAAGAAATAATGTACTATAAACATGTACAAACATGAAAATTGATAATTCTGGAATAAAAATAACAGCCACGGTAGTAAAAATAAAACAGGCAGCAGGTTAGTTTTACAGAATAGTTATTATTAAAATCAAGACTTACTAAAGTAATGTGATAATTTTAGGTGTTGTGAATTCAACTATTTACAACAATAGAATTTAGAACAATTAAAGAATATAAGCAGACTGGAGCAGTAAAATGTCCTAAAAATATTGAAGGTCGACCTTATATTCTTGCAACATAGGATGAAAGAGTTAAAACATCTATACGACAGATAGTACACAGCTTCTTTTTCAAGAACGAAATGCTCACTTTAGGTAAAATTTTAAGTGAAATTGACAACCGCTCAGATCTTCCAAAATATGTGTCGTTCATTATTATATAAATTCTTGAAGCAAATCAATTTGAAGTAAGTACAAATATTGGTATGTAAATATGGGTTAGCTACAATTATATAGTAAAATTAACTAAAATATTTTATAGATTTCATTTTTATAATCAGGTATATTATTGTTACTATTAAATATTAAGTTTTAAGTTTTTATTTGTATACTCTACTGGAATGTTGTCAAGTATTTTGGTTCAACAGATATAAGAACATGCAAAGGGAAGAAAAGGAAAAAAAGGATATTTTTACTTTACATATATGCAGATTCAATGCAGCAAATATTACATAGCATAACTATAGATTGTTTATCTTACTCTATCGGATGATTGATTTATTGTGTATATTATGAATGTTTTACCATAGTTATTTTTTAGGGGAAATTATTCAAAGAATAGTTTATACATTGGGCTGCTGACCAAAAACAAAACATTTCTTGCTCAAATATCTGAAATAGATTCAGTTTTTGCTGAAAAAATAAATCAAGAAATTCAAAATGGTGTAGTTGTTCATTTGGACTTGATGATATGCGATAATAGTATTTAATGTGATATTTTTCTAGCTGATATATATAATAAATAGAGTTTACAGTGTTTATAAATTTATAAATGTATGATATTTATATCTAATTATCATAAGAAAAACGGCAACTATCTTTTTAAATTTGTGTATACTTGTTAAGAAGCATTTTCATTTTGTTTTCATCACAATAAAAGAACATTAGTAATGTTGTGTTTTACTTTGATTGTATGGATACAGTTGGTTTTGTTCTTCCTGTTGTAGATCATCACAAGAAAACTACAAAATTATACTAGAATGTAACATAATAGATTGAATTAGTTGATTATGTCACAGAAATCCAGTATTTTTTAGTAAATTTTATTGATAACAAATGAGACAAACTCACTGTCAAAATTAAACAAGAATCCAGTATTAAAGAAATTGCAAGTACACACTTATTTATACAAATTTATTGTTTTGCATTTTAGTGCTTCAAATAGATCCTTAAGATATTGATACATAAGTTAAATCTATCTAATGAGGTAACTGATTACCATGCATGAAATGAAAACTAGGACCACACCTATATTTGAACCATAATTCTGTGATATGAAACATGAAAAAGTTAATTCTAAAGCAGTGAATGGGAAGGAATATGTAAAACAAACTGGCTGCAGCAATTCAGGAGATTGGATTATTAAGCTTAAAAATAATAACCAAAGTCAAAGTTAATTCTTCTGGTAAGCAAAAAAAACCTAGATTCAAGATTAATCACACCAGAATAAGAATATGGTCTACGCAATTTAAAAGAACAGTATTTCAGAAATCTTTGAACTATCTCTAACTTTTTGATACATGCATTTGCATAGCTTTGTTGCATATAAGATCTATTTGCAAATTAAAAGACAACTTTCTGTGAAAAACCATACTTAGATCTGTAACATTATTGACTCTCTGGATCAAAATATTCTCTAAAGTAAGTACCATCGACTCAAAAGATCTATAAAACTGGATCACCCGATATTTAAATATATATACATGGGACCAAATGTGAAAAACGTCCTTTTTTATTGTAATAATTGTAATATATATTGGAAGTGAATTAAAAAATATATTATTAAAACATAAAGTTAGGTTAGAATTGACGTGTAAGGTTGTCCGATATTGATTACTCGATTACCGCAAAGCCGAGATATACAACAAAAAAAGAAGATGTATTTGGTGACTTTTCTAGTAACTTTCTTGGGTGTGAATCTGTCTTTTTGGTTTACTCCTCCTGGTTAAAAAACAGGGTATAGTACTACATATACCTAATATTTATACATAAATTATATTTTGAAATATTTTTTTTGTTTGTTTTTTTTTATTCTTTTATTATCTTCTTTTTTTTTGTTTTGTTTTCTTTTTTGTTTTGTTGTTTTTTTTTTATTTTTTGCTTTTTTTTTCTTAATTTGTGGTATAATTTTTTTTGTTTTTTTTTTCAAACCATATTAACATATTATGCCTATATACTATTTACATCTTGTATTTACACATTTTAACATGTTTATAAATGCAATGAAGAATTTCCATATTATTTGAAAATATTAAAAGATTAAGGTTTATTGGAAAACAACACTTAGAATTTATTAATTCCTTATAAAGTTCGTTTATACTATTAAT